TATTACTTTCGCTACATCATGGCTTCTTCATCAAAACGTCGGAGCTATTATTACACTTATGTCCAGTTTTGAATAATATTCGAATCTGTGTGTTGTCCTACAACGTTGTGCTAAGTGAGCCGTTCACCTTTTTGAATATGAGTTGCAGGAATCAGATTGCTTGCTACACATGTAGTATATCAGATCATGTCACAACGTTGGTCTCAAGATATTAAGCGAATTGATGAAATCATATCTACCAAGAAAAGGGGAGAACTTCATCGGGTTTATAGTCCAGTGGTAGGATACTCCCTTAGGGTCGAAGATCATTTGGGAGTGGTCCCCGGTTCGATCCCGGGTAAACCCCCTTCTTTTGTCTCGCCATTTCGCAATGTTGCGTTTTGATAGATGTATTACTTGATTGGCCACTTCAGCAGCCTTCTTATGGAATCCACTGTATTTGTCGGTCATAGTAGTCGTAGTTATTGTCACTGTGAACATGGATCATAAACGTATGACTTTAGTGCGTTTTTCGGTTAACCAGGAAACATACTGAATGGACTAATATCTTTTCTTCAATCCAAAATCGATGTCGGAGGCTTGTTGCGCCATTTAGGACACGAAATCCAAAGCTTTGCCATCTAGTAGGTTAAAGTCGATTGCTAAAGTCGATTGCTAGCATTAGCTATCCCTTGAGTCATGATAACCAGATATTTGGACGCTAACGCCCTGCCCTTGCATCGGATTGCTCAGAAAGGTAAGCCGATTAGGTATCTCAGCAGCCTTCAAGTTTGCTAGCTAATCTGAAATATCGCAGCCAATGACTGTTGTAAAACCACTAAGGTGTTTTTAGAGCGGAGCTAATATGAGCGGCGATTAGTTGTGGATCCAGTCCTAATGATTCAATTAGTACTTGTTCCTTGCCACTGATACTCTGGCATCTCATTGCAAGCAACCTTCCTGACAACTACATTTATACCAACATAACGTGAGATACAGATCTTGCGTCCAAGAATCACCAGAGATTAGAGAATGTCCGCGACAATGAAGTGGAGACACCGCTTCATTGAGTCAAGTACAACGGCACGGGATGCAGCTGGCAAGGAGGGTAGAGATATGATCCCAGATGCGAACCCCACGTACGATACAGCAACATCGTCCTCTCCTGACCATTTTTCATCAACAGCTCCTTCCTGCTTTATTTTTTCACTCCCATTCGATGTCATGCATGACATATTCTTGCTCGTCTCAACTCATGGTAATGAATCCCTTCCCTCAACACTCACACGGGTTTGCCGTCGATGGAGAACCTTCGCGCTGGAATCTCCTTTTCTCTGGTGCAATTTGCGCTTCACAGGTCCCCCTCCGTACGACAAACAGCTACAATACTTGGAACGATCCGCTGATATGCCTTTGGATATCAAGATTGCTATCAGTCCTTGGCGCCGGGATCGTCATTTCAGTACAAAGGCAGCGGCCTCCGTGATAGCGATGATACTTCCCCATGTTCATCGCTGGCGTCGATTCTGGGTGTTCACTAGTCTCAAAACAATGCGGATCATATGTGGTCCCCTTCATCGTGTCCAAGCTCCTGAGCTTCAGCGAATGGCGTTATCAGTGTGGCAGGAGATGGACCCAAAGGTGGCTAGGAGCCGAGCCCTCACGGGCCGCTCTCATCCAGTGTGTGATGGTTGGAGGTGCAGAGTGTTTGGCGGGGGCATGCCAAAGCTGAGAAAGATCAAATTGGATGCTCAAATGCTGACAACGGAGCCAGAGACACTGCTTTTCAGCTGTGCTAGTTCTTCATCACTCCGTGATGTTGAGATAGACCTTTTCTCCCCTACCGATCGCTCTAATTACAGACAGCTTGGAAGCGAGAGGAGCGTGGAGGAAGCGATTCTAGCCCTCACCCACCTCCCACAGATCGAATCTCTTCGATTATGCTTCCCGGCACCGTATTCGGGTGATCTATCGCAAAGCGGGCCCTTTCTTAATCTCCCATATCTCAAACACTTCACGATCCTCAATGGCAACCGCATTCCATCCCCAATACCCACGAACCTCATCTTTCGGCTTGTTGCTCCAAATCTTCAGACGGCACCTACGATGTATACAGAGCACGTTCCAATACTCTATGGACCGAAGATAAAGTTTCCAGTGCTTAGACGACTCCATTTGATGTTATTTAGCAACTTTCTTTCGGAAGTTACGGTGCCGACGGACTTTTTCAAGCAGGCTATTTGCAGTCTTGAAGGATTGGAGGCTCTGTGGTTGTACGGCGGCCACTTGACCAGGACTGACCTTCAATCGATTTTTTCTAGCTGTTCTCGCTTATATTGCCTACTGCTGGATGCGTTGGATAGCTTCTGGACGAAGAATCTCAACTTACATGAAGTTCGAGAGGCTATTGAATTGAAGCAGAAAGATATCAGCACCAGCAGCTTGAAGAAGCTAAGGATCGCTATGAATCGTCACGTAAAAGAATATAACCATGATGATGAGTGGTTTTCTGAACACATTGAGGATTATCGATGGGTCGCATTTTCCTCGGTGAGTATTTCATTCCCCGTAAATGGGCTCTCTTTTCTCAATGGTGTATGCAGCCATCTAATCGTATCCCGCTTCTTTAGGGACTAATTTTTGAAGAGAGATGGTGGGATACGGCATATGCGCCTCGATAAATGCCTAGGACATAAAATCAACTAGAAACAAACAATCATTTCCTTATTAGGTTGAAGGAAATAGGAGACTTTAAGTCAGATTTCTCCCCAATTGCTATCCATTCAACTGATATTATCAAAATGAACATGTCAAAATGTACCATTGGGAATCATTATTCATCTCGTGTTGAGCTTTAGATGTGGATTTATTAGGTGCCTCACTGCAGCGTATCCGCAATCATGGAACTATTGCTTAATGCTACTCCTAGCAACGGGCTCAGTTATGCCTGCTCAATTGGTATCATTACAAATTGTCATAGATACAAGGTATGTTTGAAGGAAGATTTGAAAGGAGTGGTGTAAGTAGTCCGTGCTCAATGCCTTGAGTGGGGATATCATCTCGAAAGTGGAAATCGTTTGTTAAAAGAATAAAAAGAAGGCACGTCGATGGTGCGAGAAATTAACCGAAGATACGCTTCCAGATTTCTGCTCCAGCGCGTCTACGTTCGTCTGCGGCACCACCTTCCGCCGCACCTAGGATGCTCTTGTTTTCTACTGCTCGTCGTCCAAGATATGGAATCACCTGGAAGATGAAATTGATAAGCATGCATGGACTACAGTTACGAGGAAAAACCACTGACATCTGAAAGTCTTCCATAAGGCACAAGTCTGGCGGTGAAAGCTTGTTAGCATGAACCCATCAAAGAGAAACAAACCGTGAACATACTTCATTGCAATAGGGGAACTTGACTGCAGTCTGTC